AAGAAAGCTGAGCGCCAAAGAATTGATGCTTTTGAACTGTGGTGTTGGAGAAGACTCTTGAGAGTCTCTTGGACTGCAAGGAGATCCAACAAGTCCATCCTAAAGGAGATCAGTCCTGGGTGTTCATTGGAGGGACTGATGCTGAAGCTGAAACCAATACTTTGGCCACCTGATGCAAAGAGCTGACTCATTGGAAAAGACCCTGATGCTGGGAAAGATTGAGGTCAGGAGGAGAAGGGGATGACAGAGGATGAGATGGTTGAATGGCATACCAACTCAATGGACATGGGTTTTAGTGGACTCCGGGAGTTGCTGATGGACAGGGAGGCCTGGTGTGCTGCGGTTCATGGGGTCACAAAGAGTCAGACATGACTGAGTGACTGAACTGAACTGATGGTTGGTGTATTACAAACCAGGTAGCTTAGAACAACAAATATTTCTCTCTCACAGTTTTGGAGGAAGTCTGAAGTCAAAGTGCCAGCAATGTTGGTTGCTTCTCTGAAGGAGAATATGTTCCATCTCTAACATGCCTCTCTCCTAGCTTGTGGTGATGACCAACAATCCCTGTCATTCCTTGGCTTCATTCTAATCATTGGCTTTCATTTTCACCTAGCTCGTGACTTTCACCTCCATGTGTCTCTATGTGTTCACATGGCTATCTTCTTACAAGGATGCCTGTTATATTGGATTAGGGGTCCACCTATCCAGTGTAACCTTAACTTCACAAATTACATTTTCAATGATCCGATTTCCAAATAAGGCCACATTCTGAGTTACTGAAGGTTAGGACTTCAACATAATTTTTATCAGGGGGACACTATTCAAACCATAACAGCATGTGATAGAATATTAGGCAGCCATGAAAATAATGCTTAGGAAGAGTTTTTAAGGACAGGGGAAAATGTTCTTAATAAGTGAAAAGGCAGTAACCAAAATTTATGTGTTATATTAGGATCTTACTTTATGAAAATATGCATTGTAGAAAGTCTAGATGGAAATAAATCTTAACTCTAGTTTTAATCCTGACACTAGATGAATATTTCCCAAATTAAACTTTTTGATTTTCAAATGAAACTAAGCCAACTTGGGAAAAGTTAGGGGGAAATGTTCTCATATTAAAACTTGCATGGGATATTTTAAAATTTATTATTTATCAAATTGTTTAGGAGTCCTCTATTATGACAGAATGCAAACCAGCACACTTCATTATAAGCTCATTGCATATGAGTTTAAAAATTAAACATTTTATGTATACTGTGTTATTGATGTGATCTATGGTTTGAGACTGAAAGAAAACGATAGCTCAGGTGGTTGGGAGACTCTCAGAAACACAATTATGTACACAGATATAAGTGATTGTAATAAAAGTGAACACTTGGGCACAGTATCTAAAACACTGATGTTAGTTGCCCAGATATCTAAAGGCAAAAACAACCTCCCCTTCAAAAAGATTCACTAAAAATGGAAAGAAGGAAGTTTACAATCAAAAAGCAGTCTAGTGTCAAGAAGATGTTAGTTCACAGTAAGCCAAGGTTTTAAAAAATAAAAAGAACATCTGAAAATAGTCTGCACATGTAAAACACTTGCTGCCTGGAGTGGAAGATTATTGGAGAAGGTAGAACTTGAAACTCATATTTTGCTTTGTCTTCTCTATCAAGGAGATCAATTCTCATTTTGGAAAGAGTAAAGATAAATTGAATCCCAAATTAGATGGGAAGAGCATTAGACAGACTAGGTCCTTTAAAGAAGTAATTCAAGTCTGTTAATGTGAACAAGTTAGATTTTGCATACAGAGAGAGCTTGCATGAGAGTCTTGAAGTACTCTCATTAACTGTTGAAGAACTGTGGTGAACAGCAGGAATGATGCTCCAGAACCAAAGATGGAAAACAACATCATTTTTGAAAAGGTAAAAAGCTGTATTCTGGTGAACTTGGTGTTAATACTGACTAAATTCCTAAGTAATTAGAAGGATTTGTGAAACTAAGACAAATAGTATCTCGAATAAATTTTGGAAAAACAAGTCATGGCCATTCTCATTTAAAATTTTTTTTGTTATTATAAAAATATTAAATTTGCCTTGCCTAGGTTATAAAATGTTATTTTTACTTATATTGTGTTGGCATATGACCCTTTTTAAAATATGCTATTTACATGTTTTATATTTTTATTTTAGAATATTGAATTTATGGAAACTTTTGTATTTTCTATTAAACTCCAAAGTCTACAAACTGTGAGACTTGTATTTAAGATTCAGACCCAAACTCCCAGGAAGAAAACCATTGGAGAATGCTCACTGTCACTCAGAACTCTTAGCACACAGGAAATGGATTACTCTCTGGACATATCACCACCTTCAAAAATTTCTGTAAGTGATATAATATGTAATGTCAAAGTATTTCACATTTTTAGAATTATTTACTGGATGAATTTTTGGGGGAGTATAATTTGAGCATGAGAATATACTGAAGGATTAGGAAGGCTCTCAAACAATAACAACATAAATGTAATGTAAAAAAGTAATAATTATGTCATTATTTAACTTTTTTGAAATTGATAAAATGTTAACAGAGCTGCTTTTCTTTCTCCATTGAAAAGTAACAGTAGGCTTACCTTCTCCTAATAACCTGTTTTATTAATGTTTCATACTTCAAAATAATGGGCTTTCCCAGTGGCTCAGTGGTAAAGAATCCACATGCAATGGAGACACAGGAGACACAGGTTTGTTTGATCCCTGGGTCAGGAAGATCCACTGGAGGAGGGCATGGCAACCCACCAGTATTCTTGTCTAGAGAATCCTGTGGAGAGAGGAGCCTGGTGGGCTGAGGTCCGTGGGGTTGCATAGTTGGACACGACTGAAGTGACCAAGCACAGCAGGGCACTTCAGCATAATAACCCTAAAAGTGAATAATTTTAAAAAATTATTTTTTGTTTTTTTTAAGTAGCTGATAACATAGGAAAAGCAAGAAAGAATTATAAACTCCAAACTCAATGAGAGATTGCCTTGAAATAGATTAGGAAAGTTTTGGTCATGAGTAGGTACTATATCTGTCCATAAATTGATGGAGGATCTTCCAACTGGTATTTTTTTGTAAAGGACATGATTATCTATAGTGCTGATTGATTTTTTGAGGCCCAATAGTTGCTTCTTTCAGTTAACCAGCTGAACACTCTTTAAGTTGCCTAGAAATTCCTAATGATTTAATTATGTAGCTTCTGTGTCAGGATAACATATATACAAATCAGTCATAACCCTTTTTAAAGTCAGACTTACATGTGATTTTAAGTTTACTTAGGAGTTATATTTTACTTGTTTTCAAAAATATTTAAGGTGACTTGAAGTGGTTCTTAAGCTGGCTGCACATTAGAATCACATGGGGAGCTGTTAAACATGCCTACACTTAAACTGTTAAATCAGAATTTGGGGAGGAGTGAGCCAGAGGCATTTGTAATTTTCAAGCTACTCAGGTGATTCTTGTGTGTAGCTTTGCTTAAGAACCACTGAATTGAAGTGAAATTAGGGATTAAAAATAAAGAACGAAAGATTACTATAATCAAGAAGAGTTGAAAAATCTTGTTATTCCTGATCTTTTATTTTCTATTTTCATACAAATCTGTTTTCTTTATAGCATTTACTATAATTTAGGCTTCCCTGGTAGCTCAGTTGGTAAAGAATCCACCTCAATGCAGGACGTGCTGGTTTGATTCCTGGGTTGGGAAGATGCTCTGGAGAAGGGATAGGCTAACTACCCATTCCAGTAGTCTGACCTGGAGAATTCCATGGACTGTATAGTCCATGGGGTTGCAAAGAGTCAGACACAACTGAGCAACTTTCACTTCACTTTCAGAATAATTTAAGTTACTATTTTAAAAAGAAACTAAGACCTGAGCTTCCATCTTTTTCCTTCATATTTTACTGTACCCTTAGCCTGTCATATTCTTGGCATTGAATATTTGTATGTAGGTTGATAGGAAAGAACAAATGATGAATGAAGGCATGCTAAATTAGATTACTATTTTCTGTTAAAGTATAGCAGATTTGTTTTGTAACTGTGACAGGAGTTTATCACTTAACTAGATTAGTAGACAATAACCTGCAACCATATTTTACAGAAGGCACATATTACTATTTAAATGGATAATTGATGGATTAAATCTTTAAAGACTAGTAGAGTATATCAGGGAGAAGGCAATGACACCCCACTCCAGTACTCTTGCCTGGAAAATCCCATGGACGGAGGAGTCTGGTAGGCTGTAGTCCATGGAGTCGCGAAGAGTCAGACACGACTGAGCGACTTCACTTTCACTTTTCACTTTCATGCATTGGAGAAGGAAATGGCAACCCACTCCAGTGTTCTTGCCTGGAGAATCCCAGGGATGGGGGAGCCTGGTGGGCTGCCGTCTGTGGGGTCGCACAGAGTCGGACACAACTGAAGCAACTTAGCAGCAGCAGAGTGTATCAGAAGATAACTCAGCAAATGTATTTTCTGGGGAATTGAGACATTATAATCTGAATCTGCCTTGGAGAATCAGAATGAATGATTATGGCACAGTTTCTACAATTATATTTTGCATATCAGAGATCTTTTATAAACTTTTTTTTTAAATAAACATTTTGTATGCCATGTGCTAGGGTTGCAAAGATTGATGGTTTGAAGGAAGGGCTTTTGGGCTATCTGGATCAGTAAATTTATATTACTGTTCATATTATTGACTAAAAGCAAGAATAATATGCTTTGTTTCCTGTGTTGAAGAAGAAAACTGATATTCTAATTGTGACATTGAAAGAGACACACTTACATATCTGTCCTTCACAGTGACATCATGAACAGCAGAACTTCCATGTAGAGCTATTAATTTCTTCACCACAGAGCTTTTGACCTTAACAAATAGTTGACAACTCAAATTTTGTGTTGAATAGTGTGCAAGAGACAAGGTTTCCCTGAAGAATTATTTAATATCTGATGTTTGAAGAAACTTTGCATATAACTAACTTGGTCCTAAGTGATTTAATGCTCACAATGAACTTAATGAGCTTGCTGCTCTTGTTACCCCTATTGTGGAGACCAAGACCTTGAAGCATTTGCCTGAGTTTATATAGCTTTTTGTTGGGGAATCAGGATTTGAATGGAGGCATTCTGATTCCAGAGCCAGGTCTCTTAATTTTACCACATTGATGAAAAAAATCAATAAACAGTCTGTGATAGAAATGAGTGTTATTTGAGCCAAACTGAGGCCTATAACCTGGAAGACAGCCTCTCAGATAACTGAGGTATTGCTCAGAAGAAGCATGATTTTCAGCACTGTTTTAACATCTTATCAGAATACAGAATGTCAAACAAGTCAGGATACATTCCTTTAGGGTTTGAAAAAAAGAAAGAGCATGTGCACAGTAAGTCGATATGGCCTTGGCTCCTGGGAAGGGAGTCGTATCATTGAAGGAGGACCAGCAGTGACATCCCAGGAAAGGAGGCATTTAATCTTTATTTTTAACATGGCTGTTCTTCACTTGTGATCAGTGCACCCTTCGCTTTAATAATTAAATCAGATATACAATGTATACTTGATAGGCCACAAATGGGCTATTTTAATCAGTATAAAAGTCAAGTTAATTCATATATAAACCAGAATGACTTCCCTATATACCTCAATATGTGAAAATATCTTTCATCAGCACTGTATTGTCCCCCTAAGGAGATGTTCTAAAAAATCACCAGATAAGGGGTTTCTCTAATTATGCTGAACTTCTCACTTTCAACAGTCATTCCAGGAAGGACAAAAAAGATTTTCTTTTCTTTAAAAAAATGATACGTTATTCAGGAATGGAGATCATTAAAAATGCTTTTAATATATACCTACTAATTGATTAGAATTTTAAGTTTTTGGTTATTGTCAGGTTGAAAACCACTTTGAATAGTTTTTCATGATTTGAATTGATATCTTGGAGTATAAATTGAATTTGTGAAATAACCTTGGTTAAACCCACTGCTGAATGCTGCTGTGTTTTGTGAGAATGAACTCTACCAGTATGTAACTCTAAGAGAAGTTTTGCCATCTTTCAGTATTTTCATCTGTTATATTAAGGTTACAAAACCATAATGAAAAAATGAATGAAAAAATGTTATCCTGGTTTCCTTTGTGTTTTGTAAACAATAAATAACTTTTAAATGGACAGTAGATTTGTTCTTTTAATCAGCAAAGGTATTTTGTATATGGCTACTGAATTAGTCCACCTAAAAAGGTTAATCCATTCTTATTGAAAGCAAGAGCAATACATTCACTTTTATTTATTAGAATTCAGCAATTATTGCCAAATAGACAACTTTTATCATCATTTTAGATTTTTCAAGAAGGAGTGACCTCAACAGTTGATTTTAAACTTTTAAGTGATTCACTTTGTATCTTTTGATTTCTTAAGGCATGAGCAATTTTGGCCATTTGACCATTACAGAATATCATGTTTAGAAACTATCCAAGATTCAGTCAATGGCATGTACATAAAAAAGTTCTTTTTTTTTTACTGATCCATGTGTCAATTACTGGGGAATACTGGGTTATTGTCAAATATAAACCACTTGATGAAGTGTCAGTCAGCTGTTCTGTAGCTTTGTTGGAATCAACACTAGCCAAGACTTTTGTGTTTATCTATGCTGACCCTAGTGAGATCTGTTAACATTATGTTCTTTTTTTAATCTTATATTTACTCTTTTCAACATGTGAACAGTAATGTTTTTGTGTTGGCTGACTATGTTTCTTTTATTTTTTACTCCAAGCACCCTGGAATCCACGTAAATAGGTTCGTTTGTGTAAGGCAGATTACTCGCTTTCTTCTGCTCTTAGTCAGCAATACTGAAGAGCACATTTTAGCTTCTACCCCTTTCTGAATTTCCTTCATTTTATTGTTTGCCTCAGATTTTCTTTGACCTTTTCCTTATTATTTACTGCCTCACCACTTTCACTAGCTTCCTTCTTGCCAATTTTCGTCATTGGCTTACTTCTATTTAGCATAGTAATTCAATTTTTAATCCACAAATCTGTTCATTGTAGTAATCCTTTGTCTTCTGATTTTGATAGCACTACCTCTGATTTCTACAACTGGAAAAACTAATGATGTGTTTCATGTATAACATTTTTATCATATTTCATATATTCATATATCATATTATCATATTTCAGTCATTTGAAAAGATTATTCCAATGACTACATTTAAGTCTTTTGAAAATGTGCTCTTGTGATGTTTATTTCTCTGACATTTTCTCTACTTAAACTGCTTAGGAATTTAATTTTTTTTAAATTTGCATGTCTTTGGTCTCCCTGATTTTGAAGGTTCAGTATATATGTGAAACTTACATTATCAGAATTTATGAAAGTCAGTAAGTACTGTATATTGACAGACTCCATGACATTTAGCATTCTCTTCTAACACTTAGCTTTGTATGACAGTAAAGAGCATGTGTGCATGCTGAGTCATTTCAGTCGTGTCCAACTCTGTGTGACGCTATGGATTATAGCCCGCCAGGCTCCTCTATCCAGGGGATTCTCCAGGCAAGAATACTGGAGTGGGTTGCTATCCCTTCCTCCAGGGGATCTTCCAACCCAGGGATTGAACCCACATCTCTAGATTGACAGGCAGGTTCTTTACCACTGGGAATGTCTAGCTTTAGCTCTTTGTTTTTGAATTTTGAAATATCCCCAAACTTTATTCTTAATTGCCAAATAACACTTTTTAATATGCAGGTTTGCCATGCAGAACTTGAACTGGGGACTTGTTTTCAAGCAGTGAATAGCAGAATTCAGTTACAAATTCTTGAGGCACAGTACCTTCCAAGTTCATCAACACCCCTAACTTTGAGTAAGTATGTCAAAGTGATTTAAAGTGAAATCTTCAGAAACTATTTATAACAGATAGATTTTTCCTACATTTCTTATAGTGAAGATTATAATCTCAGTTACTTTTATTATTTAACTTATATACTTACCTTTCAACTTAAAATTACTTTATTGGATTTCAAATTTTAGCCATTGTGTTAACCCACTGCTCTCTTGATTCTTATCCAATTGTGACCTTCTTGCATTTGTTACTATTCTTTATTTATCTCATTAGTTAATATAGGTTGTGTGTCCAAAGGACTGTCAGATATGTCTCACCAGCCTAGATGGTATATCCTCTCTCTACATCTATGCCCTTTTTTGGATACTCTGCTAACTCAAAACTTAATTTTAAAAAACTAACTCACACCTTGAAAATCTTGAAAAAAAATGCAAACCTTAAAACACTTTCTCACCTTGCGCCTTTGAGTATATTCAGAGGTTCTGATATTTTGGTTGTCTAGCCCTGGTTCACATGGCTGCTCCTAGAGTGGGAGGTTTGAGGTCAGTCCTACCTAAAGGGCTAAGAGTGGGGGTAAAAGTGTTCCTTATTCCTACTAGAAGAAAATATCTGGAGATAGGCAGAAGCAATCATGCCAACTGTAACTACAAAGATTGAAAATTAATACAGTTGAACACAATTTAAGAAACTAGGAAAACAACAGCAAACACAAAGGAAGGTAGAAATAGAAATTAAAGCTAAAGTTGGAGTTGATAAATATGGAGACAACAAAAACCCCACAAAATTAATAAAACCAAAAGATTGTTCTTTTGGAAAGAATATTAAAATAGACAAACCTATAGAAGGCTGGATCAAGCAAAAAATAAAACATGAACAAGGAAGAGGATATAATTTCAAGTTCATAAGAGATTCAAAAATAAGATAACACCATTTATAATGATACCAGTTCATTTGAATAGCTGTATAAAATAAATGATTTTCTAAGAAAAAAAATGTTGGAATTCACTCCAGAAGAGGGAAGAAACTGAATAGAACAGTACTGTAACCATCTAAAAGCAGTTAAAGAGCTGCCTCTAACAAAAGCAGAGGCCAAGATGATTTTACTGGCAGATTCTACTAAACTTTCAGGGAACATATAATTCCTTTTCTATATGAGCTGTTCCACAGCATGAAAAAAAGATGGAAAAAGAAGGTTTATGAGGTTAGCATATTCTTGATATTGAAACAGAAAGGATAGTGTACACAAAGAATAGCTATAGACTACCATTATTTATGTAGGTAAATGGAAAAATCATAAAAAATAAGTGAAGTCCAACTTGGCATTAAAAGAATAAGTTAAATTACCAGGACTATATAAGGTTAAGTCTAGGAAACAAGGAAAAAACAATGCAGTTTATTACATGAACATGTGTCTTCCTTTAATACAAATGGCTAGTGGCAATCAGGATTACCAGTGATCTCCATTTTATAAATATTGGTCAGCCTCAGGTCTCACTTTGTGGCTGCCTCCTTTCTGGAAACTCCTCACTTTCTTGTTGTCTAGCAGCTCTATCTCTATACCATCACTTCTCAAATTAGTCAGACTGCACTTTTTGCTTGAGCTGTAAGCACTGTGTGTCAGATTGGGGGGCAGGCTTAGGTGAACACTGTATAAACCCAGATTTTACTTAGTGTGCTTCCCATCTTTTAAGAGGTGACACCCCTCTAGTTTCTCTGTTTCTGGTCTGTGTTTAGTGTCTTGAACAATTGTTTTTAATATTTTCCCCAGTTTATAATCATCTGTGAGAGGTCAGTTTGTATAAGCTATTTTACCATTACTGGAGGCTCTGCATCTCAAATTTACTTAAAGAATAGATTTTCTCTAGTGGGCAGGTGTTTAACTTCTGGAGTCTCAAGCAAATAATTTTACTTATATAACTTGGTAAAAGTATTTATAATTACTTTAGCTCTCCAAAGAGTTGGCACTTCTCTTTCGTATAATCCTTTTCAGTGTGTACTCTTCTACTGCTGATCGTTATTTATGCCCACAGTTCCAGTCTTTAATAGCAGTAGAGGAAGATTAGGTTCATTTAAGGTGACAGTAGTTATTTGTAAATTGCAATAATAATGGTAAGTTTACTAAAGAAGTTTTCTCTTACGGCAGTAGTTCATCAGATCTTTAAAAGTACTTACTGTTATTTTATGACAAATATATGGATTATATCTCTATATGACATTTAAAATTTTATTTATCAAAATTTCTTATTCTTTAGGTTTTTTTGTGAAAGTGGCAATGTTTAGCTCGGGAGAGTTGATTTATAAGAAGAAGACACGCTTACTGAAGGCCTCCAATGGAAGAGTAAAGTGGGGAGAGACTATGATTTTTCCACTTATACAGAGTGAAAAAGAAATTATTTTTCTCATTAAGCTTTATAGTCGAAGCTCTGTAGGAAGAAGACACTTTGTGGGACAGGTTAGTAGTCAGTTTTATCTCATATTCTTTCCTTGCGCTTTTGTAGCATTTAAACAGTTAGTTAAAAAAGGGAATACAGGATAAAACTGAGGCTGAATAGAGTGAAATTCTTCATCAAAATTTAAACGCAAAACTAAAAAAAAATGTTACTGTGAAAAAGTTTGCAGGAAAAAAAATTTACTGCAAAAATCAATCTTGTCAGACTTTTGGCTTTAATACAAAAGTAGTTTTAATTTATGAGCAACCAGGATTTTTAAAATGAGTTTTTTTTTCCTGAGATTTTCAACTTTAAAAATGGTAGGAAAGATCAGTTTTTCAATACTCTCCTTGACCCATTCCTTGTGAAAGAGGACTCTTACATATTTGAATCAGATTTCTTAAGGCTTCCTTTATTGTGTCATGTTCATTTTAATGTTTGTATGCTATTAGCTCCATTGTGGTAAGTCTGAATTCCTAGAAAACATTGATCTTAACAGTGGTTGTGATATTACTTAGTCAATATTGTTATCTGGATTAACCTATTTTAAAATTCTTAGTAATTTTTGTAAGACTGCATAAAGACTGCACTTGCTTACTTGCCAATCCTATGGAACTTGTTTCCTTTTGTAGTTCTTTCTTTACTCTTATCGGGTACATTGTATTAGCCATATATTATTTTTTATCCTAATTACAGTTTGACTCACATTTAAATTCCAAAATCTGGGATTCCCTGGTGGTCCAGTGGCTAAGACTCTGTGCTCCCAATGTAGGGGGCCCAGGTTCGATCCCTGGTCTGGGAACTAGAGCCCACATGCCAAACAAACAAATAAACTTTAAAAAAATAAATAAATAGATAAATTCCAAAATCTGTATTATTAGTTTTAAAAGCTTCTATTTGACAGCAAGATGTTATTAGCACTTTATATGAATCATCAAATTATATGTGAATTTTCAAAGATTGATATTAACTAACTTCATATATTCTACCTAAAATGTTTGTGAAAAATATTACATTGTTGTTGTTCTTCATTTATTCTTATTTGGAAAAGAGTTGGAACTCAAGAATTAGTATAACTAGCATACTTTTCAAAGTCATGGGACCTGTAAAGTTTTCCTGTATCATTAAGTCTCAACTACCATGTATGAATGAAATAGGAGATTTACCTGACAAATAATTTTCAGAATAATGTTTTTGGTGATTCCACTTTCTCAGTTGAGAGTGTAATTAAGAATAACTCTGGAAAGGTTCCTGTTGGTTATCTATTCCCTCTGGCTCCTCTGGGAGCCTTATTTATCTTAAATAAGATATATCTTAAGATTTATCTTAAATTTATTTAGAAGAATTAGAAACCGAGTTTCAAAGAAGTTAACTCCAAAGTAACATCATTTGTTAGTGCTATAGCTGAGTTGAGAATTCAAGTTTGTTTCCTTGTTCACCTTGCCTCCATGATACATAACATATAATGTGATATATAAGTATTTGCATAATGCTTTACACTTTTCCCAAGTCACTCACATATGTTATCTAAAGTTACATAAGTGATAGGTTCGTTGAAAGTTTTTACTGTGGATCAAGAATGATTTCATTTAGATTTATTAGATTTCAATTAAAATTATAGTTTTATTTAATGTAAAGGTACTTAAAATACACATTCCTTACCAATCAATTTGCAGCTTCCCAGGTGGCACTAGTGGTGAAGAAACTGCCTGCCAATGCAGGAGATGTCAGAGATGTTGGTTCAATCTCTGGATCAGGAAGATCCCCTGGAGAAGGGCATGGCAACCCACTCCAGTGTTCTTGCCTGGAAAATCCCATGGACAGAAGAGCCTGGTAGGCTACAATCCATAGGGTTGCAAAGAGTTGGATATGACTGAAGCGACTTAGCACACACCAATCAATTTAAATTATAATTAGTCTCAATTAGTATTTACAAAAATGTTTTTAAGTGGTTGGGATCAGTCTTAAGTTGAGCTTCTAGGTTAATTGCCTAAGAAAGGATACTAAAAACTGTTTTGGAGGAAATGATTCTGTAATACCTCACATTAAATTTTTAAATTGAATTGAGTCATATAAAATAGTCTTCAGTGACTAGGTTAGTATTTTAAAATTTAAGTTTCAAAGAGACAAACTTTTGGAAAAATGGAAATATGTTTAGTTGAAAATAGGTAACCCAAACTTCCATTTGTCTTTCATTAGTGATAATAATCAGTTGTATGAACTCAGTTACTATTATTGTGTTAAGTTAAATAACTGTACTATTCCTTTACAGATTTGGATAAGTGAAGACAGTAATAACACTGAAGCAGTGAGCCAGTGGAAAGAGACAGTCACACATCCAGAAAAGGTTGTTATTAAGTGGCACAAATTAAATCCATCTTGAAGATGCCGCACATTAATTTGGTGATGAACTTGACATTCTTTTCGAAGACTTATGATTTTAGTTTGCTACCAATTTAAAGAGACAAATCAGTACATTTGTTAATTTATTTATGGATTACATTATTAATTACATATTATAGTAATATAATGGATCTAATAGAAAAATTAAACTTGGTAAAAAATGGGATGAATTATATCAGATATCCAAAGTAAAGGAAATGTTTTAGACAGTAGGGCAATTAAATAAATTATAAAGTCAATAGGAATATCAGTCATAGATAGTTACTGCTATATAATGGTTATGAGTATTTTAAAGCTTTCATAGATATTAAAAATCTAGTATATTAAGTCTCTGTTAGTACAAGTGGACATATAGAAGACTGCCACTGTTTCAGTGCTAGTCATTATTGATTATATCTTAACTCTACTGTTTTAACTTTTTAACTCCTTGCTACAGATTTTCCCTCAGAAAGCAAAAATGAATTGAACCACTTCAACTCTTCTTATTTGGGGAAAGTTTGTGGCCTATGTTTACCATTATTTACCCATAAGTTGTCACATTATGACTTTATAAACTATTTATCTCTAAGAAATCTCAGATATAGAAAACTACATTTTGGCGAGAGTAGAATAAACAAAAACACCAGAAGGTTGAAGTTTAATTGGAAATTCAGTGTACACACATTTTTCTCTAAGGTTATCATCCATATAGCCCATCCTAATTAGCAGAATTAAAGGAGCTTAAATAACAAATTCAATATTTTATGATAATCACTTATTTGTTTTTAGTTTTTTAAATATAAATTACTTGTTCTATAATCCACAACATTAGAATATTTTCCTATGCTTTAAAACTGACCATACATGATAACATTATGTAGCAAATACATACTTTCTGTTACAGTTTTTCTCCGGTACTCACTACAACTCAATATGTAGGGATAATTTCAGTTTAGTTGGTCAGACAAGCTGTGATCAAAAAAACAGTCATTTGGAGAAATCAGTAACACCATTCCTGATCTTGGAAAATATGACTTTATTTTTGCTAATGAGTAGTCTAAGTGATTCATCTTCCATTTTTTTTTCTCTTACCTTGTCCCACACATGCCAAAGATAAATACTGATATTTTAGGTCAGAAGTATACTTTGCTGTAACTTAAGCATGCCCTTTTATTCTGATTCTTGGTCTGTGTATCTCATTCAGTTCAGTTCAGTTCAGTTCAGTTGCTCAGTCGTGTCCGACTCTTTGCGACCCCGTGGACTGCAGCAGACCAGGCCTCCCTGTCCAACACCAACTCTGAGTTTACCCAAACTCATGTCCATTGAGTCAGTGATGCCATCCAACCATCTCATCCTCTGTCGTCCCCTTCTCCTCCCACCTTCAATCTTTCCCGGCATCAGTTAAGATTTCCCAAATAAACACTAATTCCCCTTTTCCTGAGTACCACCTCCTCAAGCTACAAAACATGCAGAGTTGACATGCCCTTTGTTTCTGCTTCTAGAGTTACGGTATATTGAAGGTGTTGACAGGTACTCTCTGACACTCTGCGTTTTGAAATAGTTTTTTTTAGATTTGTGAAAAATGGCATACTGGTGAGTACTCATAAGGACTTTCAAGAGAAATCACCTTGAGTGGAGGTATTTTGCGTCTTTGAGACAGATGGCAGTCATTTAAAGCAACTTTTTTAAAAATAGACTTTATTTTTTAGAGCAGTTTTAGATTCACAACAAAATTGAGAGGAAGGTACAGAGAGTTCTCATATACCCTCTACCCCCACATTTACACAGCCTTCCTTGCTACCAACACCTTGCTCTGTAGTGGTATATTTGTTAAAATCACTGAACCTTCGTTGACATGTCATCACCCAAAGCCCATAGTTTATTTTAGGGTTCACTCTTTATGTTGTACATTCTATGAGTTTGATAAATACACAGATTACATGTATCCACCACTCTAATGTCACACAGAGTAGTGTCACTGCCCTAAAAATTCTCTGCAAATACAACCATTTGAATAGTTAAGAATGAAGTAAATATATCATTGTCTTTTAGATAAGTAAGAGACTTTGTTTTTAAAAAATCTAGAATTTTATTTTAGCAATTTTTTTGTGTTCTAGTAATGCTTTCAATTCCTAAATTTATTACAAGTAGTCATGTATTTAATGAAACTTCTAATTATTTTATTTAATTTTCAATAATTTTAATATGTGTGTAGTATATAATTTGAAGGAAAGGTATACTTCTTGGTTTCTTGTGTGTCTTAGAATCCTAGGTAAATAAAATAAAATTTTAAAAATCTTTTATTTTAAGGACTTCAGTTAGAGAAGTGTTTGACACAACTAAGATCCCAAATATTTTAATTAGTGTTTACTTAATTAAGCCTTTTTCAAATGAAGTAGTACTGAATAGGAGATGTTCTTACTGTTTCCTTGAAGCTTTACTTGGAAATATAAAAAGAAACACACTGTTCTGTTAATAGCTGCTCATGAGAAAAAACATTAGAAACTGGTAATAAAAAATTAAATACTATGCAAAAAATTACTTCTCTTTGTACTTACTTGGCATTTTTTGCCTTTACCTGCTTATAAATGAGACAGAACTAAAATGATGCTGAGCAACCAGAGAAAAGCAGGGAGGGTTCACACTGATAGCTAACAGCTTGCACAGTGCTAATCTCTAACAGTGTATTTATTTATAAGTCTTCAGATTAATACAATTAAATAGCTGCAGTCCATGTCAAAATATAACTTCATTGTTTGGCTCTTGTTTGGTTTTCTGTGATTTTTTTTTAACAGAACTAGAGAACTTACCACTGAAGTATATCAGTTCAGAGGGAACCAGTGGTATTTTAAACATAAGTTATGTAGTCATGGTCTGAAAATAACCTGAATTGATCTTTTGTTTGAGTACAGTTATGTGAATTTCTCTGATACTAATGTACAAAAACTATATTTCCCAAGAAAAATTTCTACTGTTTGTTTAATCAAATAATGGTTTGTTTATGAAGGATTTCAGAAATTTACAATAAATATCAACTTTTTATATTATGGCAGTAATGGATATTTCAAAATTATATATTTACTTTTGGTATTTGGTAGGTTGTATTGAGGGAAGTTCCAGATAAAAGTCTGTTAGTTGTGAGAATGTTTACAGTTGACCCGTGAACAACACAGGGATTAAGAGTATCCCAATGCAGTTGAAAATCTGAGTATAACTTTACATTTATCCCTCTGTGGTTCTGAATTCACAGGTTCAACTAACCTTGCATTGTATTATACTGTGTGTATGTTGAGCTGCTTCAGTTGTGTCCGACTCTTTGTGACCCTAAGGACTGTAGTCTGCCAGGCTTCTGTGTCCTTGGGATTCTCCAGGCAAGAATACTGGAGTGGGTTGCCATGCCCTCCTCCAGGGGATCTTCCTGACCCAGGGATCGAACCTGGTCTCTTTTATCTCCTGCATTAGCAGGTGGGTTCTTTACCACCAGCACCACCTGGGAACCCCAGTTATATCAAAACTGGGACTTAGGTTAAGGAAAACCACAGCAGTGTCAACTCCAGGGGGAGAGAATTCTTCATCTCAGATTTAGTCTAAAGAAACTGAACAATGTTTATCTTTTTAAAAATTTGGTGGAGTATCATTTTGGATATGAACAGTGGATACAGGGAGTTAAGAGATGCTGTCTTCATTTGGAACCTGGCCACATCTCTGCCTGTCTTGGCATTGTGTCCAGGAAAGGTACAAAATATTGTGATGAGAAGTTGTGCATCTCTCAAGAGGTCCATGCTCAGATGACTCAAGCCCAGCCTCAGTGGACCTGGTAAGCTCTGAGCCCATCCACTGGCCTCAGGCAGAGCTTGTCTACCTATGTACTTACTGAAAAAAATCCGCATATAAGTGGACTTATGCAGTTCAAACCTGTGTTGTTCAAGAGTCAGCTGTATTAGGGTTCCAGAGAAATGGAATCAGTAGGAGACAGATAAGAAGGGAGGGAGATACAAATTTTCTTTTAATTATGATGAATTCCCGTATGTTTATGGAAACTGAGAAATCCCACAATCTGCCCAAGCTGGAGACCCAGGAAAACCAATGGTCTAATTCAGTCTGAGTTCAAAAGCTTGAAAACCAGAGGCGCCAATAGTATAAATCTCAGTCTGAAGTCAAGAGAAGATGAGATAAGAACAGCTCAGTGGGGCGGGGCGGGGTGGGGGGGGAGGCAAATTCATCTTTCCTTTGCCTTTTGTTCTTTTCAGGCGCTCAACAGATTAAAAGATGCCCACCCACACTGATACAAGTACTAATCTCATCTAGAAATACCCTCACAGACACACCCAGAAACGATATTTAATCTGGCACCCTGGCCAGTCAAGCTGACACATAAAATTAACTATGACAGGTATCTACTAGTGTTCTGTTAGTGCATTAGTTGTAATTCTTGTTCAAAAATAAATATCAAATGCTTGAATTGTTGTCTGAAACATCAAGAAAATAATTATGAAAAGGATATATATGAAGTATCTGTCCATTTTGAAATACAGATTTAAGATTTAACAAAGTGTTAAAGAGTGTTGACCTGAAATAAATACACTGTGCTGACTGAAAAGAAAAAAAAACAAAAAACGTACAGCCTGAAAGTTGAGAATTTTGCTTTATTCAGCAGTTTTCTGAGGACTTCAAGCCTAAAAGACAGCCTCTCAGATCACTCTGAGGTACTGCTCTGAAGAGGTAAGGGAGGACCAGAATATATAGGGGTTCTTAAAGGTAGTGGGAACATCAAAAGATGAATTAAAGAAAATTGGATATCTTAAGGAATTTAGCACTTTTCTATGTATGGGAAGATCCAAGAGCCAGGGCTCACTGAAAATCATTTCTTTGATGTGCACCTTAGCTATCATCGAGAGCCAGTGTCCTGGCTTTCCCATCCTGAGTGCCCTCAGGGTGCACTGTTGTGGGTGGTTGCAGCCACTGAGGGCTTGCCAGCAGGGGCAGCCCCATTTGTCTCCATCCTGACTTCCCTCCAGGTTCACTGTCAGGGGCAGCTTGATGGCAACATCCTTTGTTTACCCATGCAACAGGCAACATTTTTCATTCAAAACAGTCAGATACTTCTCTAGAAAAGATGGATTTATTTGGGAACAGCAGAGGATTGCAATTTGTGGCCAGCTACCATGGAGAGTCAAGTCTAAGTCCTGCCTGTCAGTGAAGGAGAACACTATATTATAGAGAGGAAAAGGAAGTTGAGAGAGCTACAGTAAACAGAGTCCATGGCTTTTCACTGGTTGAGTTCTTGCCAGGAAAGAAGAGTCTGCTTTCTGTTGAGCTTTGGTCACATTGCAGGGCATGGGAGCTCCCCCTTCTGGTCTCCCAATTCTATCTTATTGAGGTTTCTGTTTATTTACAAGAGTTAATGTAGCCCTGGGCTTTCCAGGTGATGCAGTGGTAAAGAATCTGCCTGCCAATGCAGGAGATACATGCAAGAGACATGGGGTTGATCCCTGGGTTGGGAAGATCCCTTGGAGAAGGAAATGGCAACCCACTCCAGTATTCTTGCCTGGGAAATCCCACGGACAGAGCGGCCTGTCAGGCTACAGTCCAGGGGATAGCAGAGTCAGACACAACCGAGCACACACACAAAATGTAGCCCTATGAAATTTTGTTACTATTTAGTTGCTAAGCCCTGTATAAAATTAGATTATATTTTATGGGTGATAGATTATCTGAAGATGAATGCTGCCTATATTTTCAGTGATTTCCTAGTGGAAAAATTTTTAATTTAGGATTTACAGATTTTTTAACTTTCATGTATAAAAGTCTGATATCTAAAATAATGATATTTTATTAAAATTGATAACTAACTTCAATCATATAACTATATTAAAACATAGGGCTCTGATAATAGCAGTGAAAGAAAGTAAAAGTAAAGTCGCTCAGTCGTGTCCAACTCTTTGTGACCCCATGGACTGTAGCCTACCAGGCTCCTCAGTCCATGGAATTTTCCAGGCAAGAGTGCTGGAGTGGGTTGCCATTCCCTTCTCCAGTGGATCTTCCCAACCCAGGGACTGAACCCAGGTCTCCCGCATTGCAGGCAGACGCTTTACCGTTGGAGCCAGCAGGGAAGCAGTAATAGCAGTAGGTGTCTAGAAAGAAAGGTCTGTGTGTCCTCTCAAACCGTTAAAAAAGATAGCTGATTCCGTGCTGGGGTAAATCTATGACTGAGATATGCCTTTTAGAATATGATGATTTTCATTTTCTCATGCTGTGTCATTTTTTTTCTGGGTCACCATTCTGTAGTTTCTGAGGCAGAAGGATAAAATATACTTGTCCTTAATCATAGAACTAGATTGATTTTAGCAGATAAATTTGATTGACTGTGGTTTTAAGTTGTCTTTTAATTTCTAGGTTGTTAATCTTTCTTGATTATACAATACATGGACTAAAATTAAAAACTAAATTTTAAAATGAGCCATTTAATATATTTCATAATTCAGTAAAAAAAATATCTATATGGCACTTTATGCAAAGAACTGTTCTAAGTCCTTTCAGGGATAAAAAAAGGAATAGTCGGGTGGCGGCGGCGGGAGCCGAGGCAGAGGCTCCGGACGCTGCTCAGGAACCGGGGACGCCAGAGTGCCCGCTCCCGGAGTGCTCAGCCCCGGAGGCGGGCCCCACCTGGAGCCAGCTCAGGAGGAGAGGGAGGCAGGAAGGAAGGTGTGAGGAAGCCGTGAGCAGAGCACAGAATGATCTGGGAGGGAAGGGGACTGACTTCCTGGCAGCCTCAGCTCCAGTTCCCGGTTCCTGCCTGAGTATCCTGTCCCAAGAATGGCCTCCACCCAGGCCGCCTGGTGTTGCCTGGGCAGCCTCTGCCCTGTTCCAGAGATCAGGAGGACTTTCTGAGCTATGGGGACAGGAGAATTCTCTATAGGCCCTATGGAATTCTGAATCTTGGGTGAGAAGAGCAACATGGAGAGTGAAGGAGCCAAGCTTCTGCCAAGCCGCACCCATCATGGCCAGACCACAACTGAATAATGGTTGACCAGGGAAACTTGAGAACCAATCATGGCCGAGTATGGGACTCTCCTCCAGGACCTGACCAACAGCATTACCCTTGAAGATCTGGAGCAGCTCAAGTCAGCCTGCAAGGAGGACATCCCCAGTGAGAAGAGTGAGGAGATCACTACTGGCAGTGCCTGGTTTAGCTTCCTGGAGAGCCACAACAAGCTGGACAAAGACAACCTCTCTTATGTCGAGCACATCTTTTAGATCTCCCGCCGTCCTGACCTCCTCACTATGGTGGTTGACTACAGAACCCGTGTTCTGAAGATCTCTGAGGAAGATGAGCTGGACACCAAGCTAACCCGTATCCCCAGTGCCAAGAAGTACAAAGACATTATCCGGCAGCCCTCCGAGGAAGAGATCATCAAATTGGCTCCTCCACCGAAGAAAGCCTGAGCAAGGGGGAGGAAGAGGAAGAGTCCCAACGTGGTTATTGCAGGCAACGTTCCCTCTCTCCATGGTCTAGAAGCCCCTACCCCAAGATAGAAAGAAAGGAAGAAGCTAAGTACAGTGTTTCCGTTGCACTGATCCCCAATTCAGTCCAGGAGGGGGCTTGGTAACCCCTCTCCCTCAATATCCTGGCACCTTGGGCTTGTGAACACCTCCTAGCTAAATCACTAGAGTACAGTGACCGTAGCCTCCTGCCTGTCCCAAGTCAGCCCTCCCCACCCTGACCGTGCTGTGTGTACATATATATTCTACATATATGTATATTAAACCCACATTGCCATGTGTAAAAAAAAAAAAAAAAGAATAGTCCATCACTCTTTACTCCAGGGTTTAATATTTCAGGAGGGAAATAAAACAGTATAAAGCAGAATTTTAATAAGCAGGATTTAAATATGGACAAAATGTTTAGGGGCTTAAATAAAGAATTGAGAAAGTAGCATTGACATAAATACAATACCATGTGTAAAATAGATACCTAGTGGGAAGCTGCTATAAAACACAGGGAGCCCAGCCTGGCACGCTGTAATGACTGGGATGGAGTGGGGGT